CTGGGACGGCGTCGGTGGCCGGACGACGGCTTAATCACCGATCCGCGCTCACCACCTGCCGGAGGCCATGGGAGACAGTCTAGTCAGCTTCGTCGCTCCGACTTACGCTCGACCGACGCGGAAAGGTCTTTGAGGTTGTCGGGGTTATGGTCTTGCCTTATGGCGGCAGCGTAACTGTGAGAAGGCCGGGCTAGAAAGCTAAGGAACTGTTTTTCTTTGCACAGTTTTGTAATGCACGGATCTGGTAGATTTTGATCATCCGTGTCGGGTCATTAAACATCAGTTGGACCGTATGCTGATTTCAGTACGTTTACTGGAGACCGCCTTTGGACGAAAATGACGTTATGAAGCAGAGATAGTGGACACCACGACAAAGCCCGTACTCATTGATTGTTTCATTGTATTTATTATCTTTCCAATGCATTAACCTTTGCTCTTGACACAAGAAATCCGATTTGCTGACATCCGGAAAATGCCCAAAGCCACCCGGACTCTGCGGAAGGGCCTACAGGCGACCGGCCAGGATACACATTCTCTGAGAATGTGCAAATGACACCTTATGGTTAGGGTTTGATGCTGACAAGAGGGAGATGACTGTGTACATTACAGTCGAAATCAACCGAAGTAATCCGTTTTTTTTCAGGAGATTTCGCTAACTTTCTGTGAGTAAATTGAAGACAGGAAGTCAGTGGGACCGTGAGACATTACTTCGCGTCAACCCAAATACAGTAATATACTGCCTTCCCAGAAATTATTTGACCAATTTCTCAAAGCACTGCGTAAAAAACATCGCCTAACCGATGCGTGTTGTGCCGCTGATTTCCGGGATCGTTCGGTTTTAAACTGCTTGCTTCCTTCGCCACCCAAAAAGATATTCACCAACTCTCCTAAGTATTTTAATGTTCCTTACGTAAAGTATATTATTGCAGTAAACCTGAGAGGCTTTCAGGCCTCTTATGCCTCTTCTGTGTGCATTTTGGGATGAACTCTGAAAAGTTCCTCCTGTACATTTAAATAGTAAGTATTTCATATGCTCAATCATTTGCAACCCTCCTGACGTAGCCTCCTAAGGAATGACTGCGGAAGATGGGTTCTACTAATCTTTGCCACCAAAATAGCCGACGCTGCACGTACACGCAAATCTAAAATAAAATGTCTATTCATATCACCTTTATAGGGCCATTTTAGATAGGAATTTTGCAACGACTTTCAGTGGCTAGCTTTTGGACACTTGTTTACGAACTGACATAGTATTATGGCCCATAATCACAGTGCTTATCGGTAGTTTAACCCTATTTTAGATATTTTCGCAGGTTCTTTCAGTCGAACTCTCTACCATAAATTCTACGGCCTTTAGTTTGTCCTCCTGATTGGCAGTGTGCCATTACGGCTAGAGCTAATGTTGATCTAAGTGTCATGATGGTCAGTAGGCTGCAGCGACAGAATCAGTGAAATTGCAGGAAAATACGTTGGGCATTCAAACGCTCCACAAAAAATTATGTTTTGACAGCCTGTGTATCAAGGTCCCTAGAAATCTAGACCGGTATTTTATTGCATAATACCTTAATTGTGCAGCCATCCAAACAAGTTTATGCATTCGAGGTAAGCAGGAGTTTGCAGCCTTGACGAACATACGTGTCAGGAGCTCGCCCAGACGCACCAGACTTATAAAATTTGCGGGAGAGGGAACCACAGTCTTTTGCAAAATAGGGGATGCAACGTCACCCTTCTCCGTTACCAGTTCCTCTATTATTACCTTTTTTACTCCTCCTCATAATTACCATCACCACCAGCACAGAGGTTCCCATCCTACTTCCAGTCGCTCTATCTCCCCCCCCCTCTCTCTCTCTACATGAGGCAGTCGATCGAGTTCCGACCTTGAAATAAGTAGACTTAATACATTTTTGCCTTTTAATTTCCTCGGAAATTAACTGCGAACTTGG